CCTCCTCCTCGTTCCTCCCTCCTCCTCCTCCTCCACCTCCTCCTCCTCCTCCTCCTCACTCCTCCTCCTCCTCCTCCACTCCTCCTCCTCCTCTCCTCCCCCTCCTGCCTCCATACCCCTTCCTCCTCCTCCTCCGCCCTCCTCCTCCTCCTCCTCCTCCTCATCCTCCTCCGCTCCTCCCCACCTCCGCCTCCTCCGTTTCCTCCGCCTCCTCCGCCACCTCCTAATCCGACTCCTCCAGCCTCCTCCTCCTCCTCCTCTCCTCCTCCTCCTCCTCCGCCTCCGCCTCCTCCTCCTCCTCCTCCTCCTCCTCCTCACTCCTCTCCTCCTCCTCCTCGCTCCTCCTCCTCCACCTCCTCTCCTCCTCCTCCTCCTCCTCCACCTCCTCCTCCTCCATCCTCCTCCTCTCTCTCCTCCTCTCCTCCTCACTCCTCCGCCTCCTCCCCTCCCCTCCTCCTCCCCCCTGCCCCCCCCCTCCTCCGCCTCCCCTCCTCCTCCTCCTCCTCCTCCTCCTCCTCCTCCTGCTCCCCTCTCTCCTCCCCTCTCCTTCCTCCTCCTCCTCCTCGCTCCTCCTCCACCTCCTCCTCCTCCTCTCCACCTGCCTCCCTCCTCCTGCCTCCTCTCTCCTCCTCCTCCTCCTCCTCCTCCTCCGCCTCCCCTCCTCCCTCCCTCTTCCACCTTTCCTCCTTCATCCTTCCTCCTTCCTCCTTCCTCCTTCCTCCTTCTCCTTCCTCCTTTCCATCCTTCCTCCTCCTCCTTCCTCCTTCCTCCTTCCTCCTTCCCTCCCATCCTCCTTGCCACTCCTTCTTCCCGCCTCGCTCCTCCTTCCTCCTTCCTCCTTCCTCCTTCCTCCTTCCTCCTTCCTCCTCCCTCCTCCCTCCCGCTCTAGGCCTGGACTGCGTAGACCTGCAACTGCTCGGCCCCCGCCCTCCCTTTACTCGCTCGCAGGGTTCGAACAGTTCATGGGATGTCCTCGCTGGATCGGCCCGTAGGGAGCAGCGCCCCGCCAATGCTGCCCCCGCCCCACACGGGAACCCCAACTAACTACAGCGACGCAGCCCCCCAGAAGCGCCCCGCATCCCGAGTGCCCCCGGAGCCATTCCCACGCTGGCGCCTTTAGCACTGGCGGCCTGGCATCGTGCACTCGGGCTGGAACGGGCTGGCCGCATCGCTCGGGGTGCTTGGCCCCGCGCGTGCCTCAGTTCCGAGCTGTTTTCCTTTCACCTTGTCCATCTCGTTTCTGCAAGCACTCGGGTGCGCCCGCACTGCCCTCCTGCGTTCGGCTCGCCTCTTCTTTCCTGCCTCGTTAAAGTTGAAGACGGGGCCTTCAAGGCAAAAGGGGTACCATGCAAACACGGACAGGGCCAGTCGGGACCCACGTTCCCGAGAGACGCCGAGTCCCAGGAGGCATCGAGGGCCACGGGAGCCTACTCACAACAGAGAGCAGCAAGCGTGAGCCTCACAGATGCTTGCCGTCCTCTCTTTCCCGCCTCTCTCCCTCCTCGCCCCGTCCCCTTCTGCACGCCTGCTCCTCCGCGGGGCCCCGATCGGGGGGCATCCCCTCGGGGCCCCGCGGGCCGCCGGGTTTGCCGGCGCTGCTGCCTCCTCGGGGGGGGGCAGCCTTTGCGGCGTCCGCGCCGCCTTTGTTTTTCCTTCGGCCCCGCCCCCTTGTCCCTTGTCGCGCCCTTCTGCCGTTCGTCCGGCCATGGCATCGCTGCAACTTCTTCCACTGCGCCCCCCTTGCCTTCCCGGCCATGTCGTTTCCGTGCCGGTCGGCTATCCGCCTGCCTCGTCAGACCCCCGTCATCCATGCCCGGATGAGGTACGGCTGGCTGCCGGCGCTGCCTGTTCCAAACGGCTTGAAGGCTCGGCCTTCAGACGCGCGCGCGCGCCCGCTTCTCCGACCTTGCTACACCCTGTCGCTGCGCGCGGGGCCGCGAGCGTGTGTGTGTGTGTGTGTGTGTTTGTGTGTGTGTGTGTTTGTGCGTGCGTGCGTGCGTGCGTGCGTGCGTGCGTGCGTGCGTGCGTGCGTGCGTGCGTGTGTGCGTGCGTGCGTATGTATGTATGTATGTATGTATGTGTGTGTATGTATGTATGTATGTATGTATGTATGTATGTATGTATGTATGTGTGTATGTATGTATGTATGTGTGTGTATGTGTGCGTGCGTGCGTGCGTGCGTGTGTGTGTGGCGGGGGGGGGGTCCACTGCTCATCGGAGATAATCGCTGCCAGGGCCCAGGGCAGCTCGCTTGTGAGCCCAGTAAGGGCATCTCCAGCCGGCGTTCCCGAGTCTACTCTTCTTGGTTACATCCTCGGCTCTCGTGATAGCTCGGCCGAGACTCCCGCTGTTTACGTCGCAGCGCGGCAGAGGCAATCCGCTCGCGCGTGCAGGCAACCCCGGACGGCGGTGTTACGAAGGGACCCGCGTGCAAGAGAAGGGGACAAGCCCAGAGACAGGAGGAGGAACAGGAGGACGCACCCACGCGGCGAGGCCGCGG